TTTGGGTCTAGATTTGGACCAAATGGCCCCAGAGGCGCCTTCGATTTTTGAGGTTCTATTTTCCACAGGTAAACATCTATTTTACGGAGGGAATCACACGGACTCTGAGAAAAACAAGATTTTTGGTCACCCCTCAGGCTATCTGCTAGTAATCTTGACGGGATGCTGTTTGAAAAGAGGCCCCCACCAGTGTCTCTTTTGGAAAGGTGGAACATTAATCTGAGCCTCAAAATATGAAATATCCCCCCACCCTCCCACCCCTGTTTGCAAATGAATGCAGGATGTGTTTGCCTAGCGACCACCAAGAGAGCAGTATTATGTGGAGAGGAACCAAAGACAAAGCTCTGTGGTTCAATTCTGGGAGCTGATGGCTCCGCTCTCCCCAGGAGGTAATCTCTGGGTAGCTAATTACAATGGGTAAAGGAAATGGGAAAGTGAGTGCCAAGGAGGGATCGTTCTCCTCCCCCAGGTTTCTGCTTTGCTGAGAGCTGGTCTTTTGGTTTCAGAAGCCTGGGGCCTGCAGGCGGAGCTCCATCAGGCCCACCTGGATGGGCACAGTCTTCTACTATCAAGTCCACCACTAGAGCCTGTTCATATGGTGCTGTGGCAGGCCCCTGGGTGAGGGGCTGGGGTGCTGGGGGTGGGGGCTAGGTAGGGTGGGGCAGGATGCTACAGTGTTAATGGGTCAAAATAATACACTCACATTTGAATAGTGTGTTGCTATTTACAAAAGGCTTTTGTATAATTCCCCTCATGGAAGACTTCGAAAGATTTCACAGATATATAGGTAGCCRGAAGGTGTGCTGACCTGCCAGGTATCACAGGGTTACAGCAGGCTTTGCTGGGATTTTAACCTACTTATTTCTTCTCTTTTCAGAGACCAGGTTCTGTTTACTTTWAAAATAAATAAATAAATAAATTTGTTTTTGGTMCTGGGGATTGAACTCAGGGACACTCMACCAMTGAGCCACATCCCCAGCCCTTTTTTTGTATTTTATTTAGAGACAGGGTCTCCCTGAGTTTCTTGAGGCTGGCTTAGAACTCGAGATCCTCCTGCTTCAGCCTCCAAGCCACTGGGATTACAGGTGTGCACCACTGCGCCTGAACAGGTCCTGTTATAATCTCTAGGCAATTGTTGTCAATTTTCCTGAGATCTCCAAGGAAAGGGGCAAAGGAAGGAAAGGGGCAGAAGCCCACTGCTCCCCTTCCTCTAGATTAACAAATATTGACATTTACTGAGGACTCTGTGCTAGCATGCTGCTAAATACTTTCCCTGGAATAGGAACTATTACCAGTCTCTTTCACAAAGGAGAAAAGAGAGATATATAGATAGGAAGTAGTTTACCCAAGGACCAAATGTGAAGGAAGGATTTTAACACTCTCTGTGCTAATCAGGATAGGACACATTGTGCTGCTGTAACAAACAACCACAAGTAGCTCAGTCCTAGAGCATGGGCTTAGCATGTGTAAGGCTCTGGGTCTGATCCCCAGCACCACAGGCGAGATAAAAGTATCTAAATAATATTCGTTTCTCCTTCAAATTGCGTGTTCACGGGTTGGCAAAGAGACTCTGCTTCACATAGTCACTCAGGGACCTGGGCAGAGAGATTCACTATTGTAAAACTGCACCATCTGGAATCAATGAGCTCCTGACACTGTGGCAGAGGGGGGAAAAAAAAGCTGGAGAGCCTCACACTGGCAATTAAATGCTTTGGTCTGGAAGTGACATGTCACTTCTGTTTATAGCATGTTGGCCCAAAGTAGTCAGATTGGCATTGCCCAGCAGCCCCCGGGGACTCAGAGAGAGCTCGGTATCAGCACTGGTCATGTTCATCCACTTGGCACTGACCTGAGTCCATGCCTCTCTACACCATGGGGTACTGCTTCACCCTGCACGAGCTCCTCCAGGTTCAACCCCCTTGACTCACTGTTTCACCACTCCCCCTCCCCTGCCCACATCCCCCCCACTTCCCGCACACACGGAGCAGCTCCAGGCTAGGCATGCTGGTTGGGTGATGGGGACACAAATAAGTGATACATGACCTCTGCCTTCATGTGTCCTTCTTTTAGGAGAGAAGCGCTGATGCGTTATACACCAAACCCTGTGATCAAAGCAGAAGGTATTAATGGGAGGGAGAAAAGGTGACGACAGTTTCCCAGAGGACAAGGAAAAGGCCTTAGAGCTGAACCCTCAGGATAAGTAAAATTTGGAAATGAGAAGGTAAAGAGATATGGGCAGAGAAGAGCTTGGGCAGCAGCAGAGAACCAGGGCCATACTRCAAACAAGGCACGGTCCTTAGACTGTGGTCTGGTTTGGGTCAGACCCTGGAGGACTTTGAACTTCACTCTTTGGTGTGAAAGTGCAAAAGGGTACGTGTCCGAAGCTCAGCCAGGAGCTCTGGTGGTGAGGCAGACCTCACAAGAGACAGTAGAGTGGCTTTTAAAGCTTCGTCATGCTTGGTGACATAGCGTCTGTGTCATGATGATTTGTCCTGGGGCCTCTGGTACAGGATGAGGCCCAATATACAACACAGGACTAGCCCCTGTGGCCTTTCTGTGGTTAAGAGAGTGGGTTGGTCCAGCGGAGCCTCATGCCCAATACGCAGACTTGTCCCCAAATATCTGCTGGCCCTGTGCTAGGCTCTGGGGAAGCAGAGATGAATAAAACATATCCTAACTGGACACAGGAAGCTGCCCGGGAAGTGAGGACACACAAACAGACTCAAAGAACAGGACATCCCAGCCAACACCACTTGGCCTAACCAGGCTTCACCTGGGCCTCCATGTTTGCTTAACTTTGCTTCTTCTCCCGTCTATCCCCTCCCCTCCCCCACAGTCATCTATTTGTCTCTTTCTCTCTCTTTTTTTTTTTTTTTTTTTTTTTGGTGGACTTGCCACTGAGTCACATCCCCAGCCCTTTTGATTTTTTTTTTTTTTTTTGAGACAGGGTCTCACTAAGTTGCTGAGGCTGGCTTTGAACTTGCAATCCTCTCGACAGCCTCCAGAGTGGCTGGGATGGGATTCTAGGCCTGTACTGCTGAATCTGGGTGATCTATTTGCTTCTAGATGCTGACTATGGATGCAATTTTTTTTTTTTAAATCTGTACCAGTGCAGTTTACCTGGCTTCAGCCTCTACATTCRCCCCGCACTGGGCCTCTCATTCCTATCTAGATTATACTCACCTTGGGAACCTATAGACATAGTCCTGACCACGTGCCTCCAGATTCCAGACCTCTTGCACCTATAACCTCCCTGGGCTTCAGCTCCTGGGCTGTAACCTCCAACCTTCTTAGAAACAGTTTGCATTATATGGAAAATATATTTTTTTTTCAGTTCTTACATCCCATATCCCTGGCTGTGTTCTGTGTCCCATGTGTACAAAAAGGCTCCTATAATCAGTCTTGAGCCTGCTCGGTCATTAACTGGATGAGGAAAATGATAAGCCACAGCATTACTCTCATATGAGTTATAGCTTTCAAAATCATTATCCGAAAATAATTCCAGGTATCAAATGCTCCCGCAAACTACTCACGGTGAAATCCCAGAAAAACTCTACTAAACTCAGAAAATTTAAGATTTCTCTGTGTGCACACTGCCAAACCATCTCTTTCACCACAAGTTCCAAAGATTGGAGGCTTGGTAACCTTTTGCTTTTTACCCAAACCACAGCATTTTAATAAATGAAACCAAACCCTGCTTGCACACCCACTCCCAATTTCTTTGGGACCTGAACCCCAGGTTCAAATGCTCCCCCTTTCTCGTGCTCATAATCAGGCCGGGTACAGAACATTGGGAGTCTATGTTCAAAACAAACAAATGAACAAACAGGAAAACCCCCAGAGCTCCTAGTATTTGTCTCTGAACTGCTGTAACTGGCCTCAGGGTTCTGCAATAGTCACAAACGGGTGAATGAAATGTTTGCACATAGTGTGGAGGTGACCTAAATATACAGCTTCTGCAATCTCAAACCCAAACCTGGACCATTTCACTCCAAACCCAGTCAGACCGAGAAGTAACTAGTTGCTTGCGTACTAAATAACACAAAACATCATACTTTTTAAAACATTTATATTTATATATATAAAAAATTAAATATATATAATATATAGTGCGTTTGAGACTAAAAATATAGTACATAATATTTWAAAAAAAGAAAAAAACAAAGGCAGAATAGGAAAAGGTGTGAGGGACACACAGATACACATTGCTAAAAATCTACGATGGTTTGTCCTAACAAAAATAATATTTCTTTTTCTCTTCTCTTAATTATCATCATGGATCCATCGATTGGGATTTGGGTGGAGAAAAATTCAACTGGAGCCAGAAATAGAGGTTACAATCCCAAGAAAGGCTGGGGTAGAAAATGTGACCACAGGGAGCCTTGGGCCTCTTTCTGGTGAAGTTAGAGGCAGCCAAACTCCTCTGGGTCACTATTGCTAGTGAGATTGGGTCAAGAGTTTTGATTGTATTGGCAACTTGGCTGTTCTTTCTCCCCAGAATTTGGGTGTTCCCAGGGGCTACATCTGAATGCTCCAGAAGTCCTGACCCACACCAACTCAGAGGCCAGTGGTCGGGGCCAGCAAGAAGCCCAGGGATGGGGAACAGTGGAACGGTAGGAATGAACGAGAGTCGTGTGCACATGGAGTTATTATTATTGTTGTTGTTATTATTTTTTTTTTAAAGGGCAGCCCTGTACCGGAACTGCCCAGTATGGCCTGTGACTTCTGCGCAGCAATGATCTCTCCAGGGGCAGGGCCTGGAGCTCCCTCACAGTGATACAAGAAAATGGGATTCTGCCCCATCTCCCCAATTCAGAGATCCCCCAGCCACGCCTCTCCTCAGCAGCTCAGAGGTTGAGTGTCAGAACCAAGCTGCCAGAGGTGAGCCAACAGCCTCGCCAACAGCCAGGCTTTGACAAGAGGAGGAGAAATACCCTGGGGGACATGGAGAAGGGAATGGGATCTATAGATGCCAATTCTGTAGCTTTTTCACAAAAATGCATGCGTAGTGACGCTGGTTTGCCGGTGCGCCTCAGTGTCCCCTCGTGACACCCTCTCTGGGCTCACTAGGGTCAGGAGCCTGACTAGTTCTCTCCGGTGACTCCCTGGACATGCAGAATGGGCTGCAGAGGCACAGAGCAGTGACCTGCCTCAGGTCACACAGAACTGAAATGATAGAGAACCAGGGTTTCCGAGCCCAGGGCGGCTCTGGGAGGTCCTGCAGTTCAGCCATCGGGACAAACCGCCCACACAGCAAAGAGTAAGGTTGTGACCAAGTCAGCTCACTCCCAGTTGGGGTCTTGGCCTTAACCTTGGTTTCCACACACCCCACTGGGCTAACATTGCTGTGTGTGTCCAGGTGTACCGTGTTTGTGGCCATCTGACTCTAAGGAGCCCGGGACGTGATGCTCCTGACAGTGTCTGCAGGTTCACCACAGAAGTGGAGGGCAAGAGACTCCCCTGCCATGTGCTCCATCCTGAAAGGCAGARGAAGCCTCCCTCAAAATCGTAAGGAAAGCAGAAACTGCTGGATAAGTATCGCTGGCCGACAGGGTGGTCAAACTAACCTTCCATTCCAAGCTCGATATTTGAGAACCTAGCACTGCTCTCATGCCTGGTACTACTGTCCTTTCTCACTACGATGAGTTTTGTTTCATGCAAACTCGATGGCTACACTTTGAGGGACCCAGGATTTAGGATGCAGGCTGGGCCCTTCACAAGCAGAGAGACCATGGCTCATCCAAGGTAATAAGAACCTTTTTGGGACCCAAAGCTTATGTCAAAACCACTTGCCTCCTCTTTCCCCCACCCGCTCCCTCATGGAGAGGTCAGCTGGACCCACTCCCAGCCCAGCTCGAAACATCTGGACTGCAGGTTTCATCTTGTTCAGTAAGCAGGAGGAGTTATTCTTCGGACCATAGGAGTGTTTCGAGGACCAATTACCACTCCCCACCAAGAAATAGATGCCTGTCACCTGGGAGCAAACTAAAGGAAACCCACTATGCCCTTCTCTAGCCACAGAATCTCTTTGCAAACCTGTCAGAATCAAGTGGGAAGCAACACAGATAACTAGGGTAGCTGTTGCTGCTTGTAATAAAGGGGTTTCTGGTGGAAATTAATTCACAACACTTCTGACAAGATAATGAAGCACATGGTGAAAGCTTCTTTCAGTAGGGGAGAACCCCTGAGCTCCCCAACCCTCACAGATTGCTGACTGCTCCCAACTCCTTGCCAGGGATGCACAGCCCTGCATGGCACCTCCTCAGGTGAACAAAGCCAAAACGGAATCCTTTCAGGTTTGTGTAACGCTCTCCCCTCATCTCGCAGGACAGAAAGTTGGAGGCAATGAACACAGAGGTTAGGCCAGGCCACTCTGTGAATGAACCCAGCACCGGAACTGGGTCCTGGATCTCCTGACCACTAGCCCCGTGCCCTTCCCACTGGGATGGTAATGTCCAAGGGAATCAGGATTGCCAAGTCCTGGGGCAATGCAATGTTGGGGACTATAGCTTCAGATAACAGAGCTCTGGGATCAAGGGCATCTTCTCCTCCCTAGAAAAGCTATCCCACTTGGTCCACCATGCAGGTTTCCACAGTTAAAACCGAAAAGCCCAATTCCCAAACACAATTGAATACCTTGAATTCTCCTGTTTTAAAGGTAACCCTATTTAGGCTTCAATTGTTTAGATTAGCCATAGCTGCTGGTGCCTATGAAAAATTTGCACAAATTTATCTGCACAGGAACCTGCATTCTTAAAGCCTTCTCTCTGTGCTCCCATGAGGACTCCGTAGGACCGTATGAGCTTCCAGGGGTGGGATACAGCAGGAAGCCGTAAATACCCCAGGTAGGTCCCATTCTGCAGGGACTGTCCGGCTCAAGTGGCAGAGGACACAGGGGCAGGCTGGAACTGCAGCTGCTGGCTTCCGGGGTCTGACTTAGTCTTCACCTGTGAGAGGGTGTCTAGGAATGTCACCCCACGGAGCCATCTGCAAGGGGTGGTGATGGCCCGTGGCTGATGAGCATGTAACTCATTAAAGCGAACATGACTAATGAATGGTGACCACCGAGAAAGGGCAAGGAGCATTCTGGGAATTGCACCGGAGTCCCCCTCCCATYGGGCTGGCCATGGGCGGAGGAGGCAAGCTGCAGACGCAGCTCCTCGGGCAGACAAGGCCGGGCAAGGGTACCGATTCTCTTTGGGATGCCTGTTCTCTTTGGTCAGAAGGTGGCAGCTGAGAAGTGATGGCATGGAATGTGCGTGGGCGCGGGTGCACGTGGGGGTGGGACGAGAGCATGGGCTTTGGAATGCCCGCAGTGCCCTTCCATGCCTCCTCCTCCACCCGGGTCAGCGCTGAGCTCCCCCTCAGGGCCATCTCCAGGCCTCCTTTCCCTCCAGGTCCTCTCCCCTCACTCTCCTCTGACACGGTAACCCTTGACAGCCTGTCTGGAGCTTCCCAAGTACCGCTCCCTGCCCACACAGGGACGGTCACCCAAAGCTAGACACTCAAGGCACTGAAGTGGAGGAAGGAGTCGGATTGGTCCAAGGAGGGAAAAAAGACACTTAAACCAGAACTTTCCTAGAGAGAACCTCTCCCGGCCCTCTGGGAGGTGGGCCCTAAGCAGCTGGTGGGGCTTAGGGTAAGACAGCAGAGTCAGAGACCCATGCCCTTCCCTAACCCTGTTGGAGCCCACCTGGACCACCTGAATGTATAAAATGAATTCAAAGTGCTTAGAGACTGAAAGGGTAATGGAGGGTGTCGGGAACTTGGTGGAGAAGAACAGGTATCCCTTTTTCTTTCCACTGGGACTTGTATTTGGGCGAGGTAACCCCTACAGCTTCTTTCCAGATGAGGTTTTCATCATTTTTTGTTGTTGTTGTTGTTGTTGCCTTTGCAAAATAGCTTGCAACACCTCTATCTCAACCTACTACTTACTCCCCAAGCAGGCTCAAGAGTCAAAGCCAGGAAGTGGGGCAGAAAACGGGGCTCGAGTGCCTCCCTCTAGTGTGGGTTCTGGGAACTGCCACGCAGCAGCAGCAGCGCACAGTGGTCTCTCGCTGATCCATCAGGACACGGACCTGACCTTTCCTTCTCCACCACACCTGCAACTTGATCCCGCTGCACCCTRACAGATATCCACAGTGGCAGCTAGGGTGACTGACATTTTGATCCCAGCTGAGCCAAGGCTCCCAGGGCTGTTCTATAGACAAGAGCCAACATGAACCCAAGGTCCCTTCGGCAGTGCCCTGAGGGACAGATGCACCCAAGACAAGAGAGCAAACAAAGGGACTGGGTGGGCTATCCTGTTTTCCATCTGTCTGTGCTAGAGCCACCCACTCCCATCCTTAAATGTCCCCTAGGTCAAAGCCTGCCAACCCCCTGCCTGTTTATGGGAGACCAGAGGGGCGGGATAGAAAGGGAATGCTAAAAAGTGCCCCCTCTGTTCTCCGCAACCTTGACTTTCCCTGTCCCCGTGCTGGGGTCAGCAAGGGCACAGGTCGCAAGAGACACAACCTCCCGAAGAAGAGGGAAGGGCAGGCCCAGGAGGCTGGGGCATGCGCAGAGCACCATCCTCGGGACGGGGTGTTTCTGGGAGACCTGCTCCCCACCTGCCTTGGTGGGAGGAGGAAGGCTGGTCCAAGAAGGGAGCAATTAGCAACGCCCCTGAATATCAGGGAACAGCTGTGAGAAGCCTTCTCCTCTGCCCCGCAGAGATGCCCCCGCCAGGTCTGGCCCCTACACGTGAGTCTGCATGCGCTGCTGGAACCGCTGGCCGTAGTCCGAGTGCTGAGAGGTGTAGGAGAACCGAGTGGCCGTGGCGTACTTGCCGATGGGGTCATACGCCTCGTACGGGGTCCGCTCCAGGCTGGAGGGTGGGCCCTGCGGGTAGCCCAGTCGGTAGGTGGGGTACCCAGCTGCCCCGGGGAAGGGGTGGGAGTTGAACTTCTCGTAGTTCTCGTAGGACAGCTGGCTGGTGGTGTCGGTGCCCGCAGGGGCAGCAGGGCCAGCGGCTGTGGGCTCCGGGCCATAGTCAGAGGCGGGGGCCCGGCTGTAGGTATTGAGCTGGGCATAGCCGCTGGAGTGGGAAAGACGGGATGAGGGGCGACCATCAAAACGGGCAGGGCCAGGGGCGCGGTARTCAGCATAGAGCACTGCCCTGGAGGACGGACGGTCTTCGTGGGCGCGCACATTGTAGTAGCCATTGGTGGGGTCCTGGGGGGCAACGAGAGAAGAGCACGGAGGCTGGAGTTTCCTCTTGGAGTCTCCCGGGGCTTTCTGGGCCTGCCCCTCTGGCTCTCCCTGTTCCTATCCAGCGCCACTCCACCCGGCTACCTTCCACAGGCCTCCTCCAATAGCAGGCCCTGGACCCCAATTTCCCAGGTGGTCCTCAACCAGCCCCCAGCCAGCCTCAGCCCTTTCCCACCTTCATCTCATACTCCTCCCGCGTGTCGATGGTGTCACAGCGCAGGTCCTGCTTCAGATCCACATCATCCTTAAAGGACTGCAGAGCGGCAGGAGCGGGTGTCAGGAGATGGGGGCCCTGCTCTTGTCCCCCCTCGCCAACCCCGTCCCCATGCCCAGAGGCCACCTGCTAAGGGAAAGGTCTGGGGTCAGAGGCAGACTTGCATTCTCTGTCTTCCCCCAGCAGAGGCACTGGGATGTGGCCGGAGGAGGCCAGAGACCTGGCTTCCAGCAGGTACTGRGGATTGCACCCAGGGGTGCTCTACCACCGAGCCACATCCCCAGACCTTTTTATATTTTATYTTGTATTCTGAGACAGGCTCTTGCTAAATATCCCAGATGGGCCTGGTGCTCCTCCTGCCTYGGCCTCCWGAGCCTCTGGAATTACAGGTGTGCACCACTGCACCTGGCTACCCAGCACGGATTCTGTGGCTAACATGCAGTGTGACCTTGTGTATGTGCCTGCTGCTCTTTGGGGCTGTTGCCTCATCTCGGTGATGAGGGAATTGGAGCAGAAAACACCTAAGGAGTTCTAACTCTGGGTCTGTGTGGCAGAAAGATGGGTCAAAAGAAGCCTAAGAGAACCCCACCCCTSCCTGYCCTCYCCTGGAGGGAAACCAACCTGGCATGTGTATGTGTGCGTGGGTGTGAGTGTGCAAGTGTGTGGAAGTGGGTTTATCTGTGTGTGGGCGTGCATGGCCGGACTATGGTAAACTGAGGCAAGGGAGAGCAACAGCAGTTCTCAGAGAGCTGGGTGGAGCTGGTCAAGAAGGGGACCCTCACCGAGTAGATGGCCTTCATGACCCGGGTGGCCGTGGAGACGCTGGCAGTATCGTCTTCCCGGTCAGAATGCATGGTGAGTGGCTCTCGGTTCACRGTTTCCACCTTGATGTCCAGCTTCCTCAGGGTCACATCTTTACGACCTGGGACRGGGAGATGCAGCTGGGCCACATGCTTTCTGCCGTGTCTGCTTCTAGTCCCCCCACCCCCCCATGAGCTAGGAAGCTCAACTGCCACCCCTTTGGCTCGACACGGGCACTGTCTGCCGCGTGCCCGGGAATGAATGCGCATGCAGTGGGGACAGGTGTGCTGTGGCTGCACGGGGACCATACTCACTGCCTTTGCGGCGTCGATAGAGGAAAAATACCAAGGCAATGAAGAAGAAGATGACCAGGATGCCTGCGCCGATGGTGGCCCCCGCGATGATGCCCACAGGTAACACCTCTTCCAACAGGGGAAGGAAAGGAACAGGGTGAGGACAGAGCCATACTGGGGACCTGCGCTCARGATGGGCCATGAGCCACAGTGGCAACCCTGTACAAGGCTAAATTGTGACTGAGTCTGTGGACCATATGAGGTTCAAGTTCAGGTGGCAATGGAGAGGGAGATCTGGATTGTTGCCGGATTGTAATGCTTTAGCCAGACTAGATTTGACTTCATGGCTGTGTCCCATCCCTGCAGCTGGGCATCGGCTTGACTCTGGTCCTTGGTTAGTCTGTCTCTTCCTTTTTTGGTCCACCTGACCATGAAGCATGGTCCCGCCTTCCTGGGCAGGGCCCCTGTTTGAGGGTAGCTGTCTCCAAACACTCTGATCTGCCATCTGTGTTCCACCCTCTTGTCGCCTTCCCCATCCACACCACTGTCTTCTCCCGACCCCCATCACACCCTGCAGCATCCTCAGCTAAACCTAAATCGATGAGATCTCTATAGTCATTTTCTATAGTTCCCTATGCCCAACATCAATGCCTATTTCTCAAAACCAAAAACAAATGCTGTCTTTCCCTCATCCGACTTGAGGATGCCCATCAGTCAAAAGCAGTCCATCCGACCAGCCGTGCCAGAAAGAGGGACACATCTCTCCTATCAGACTGGGGATTCTTGAAGCAGCCGGGGAACCCAAACTTACTGAGCACTGTTGCACACCAGGCATTTTGTAAATATTGTCTCCCTGAGTCCTAACAAAACACCCAACGAGATAGGTAGTGTTACCTCCTTGTACAGATCACTTAATTTTTCTCTGTCTGAATTCATTTGCTTCCACTCTGTGAGCTCCTCCACTAAGCTGAAAGCTATTTGTGGGCAAGACTGTCCCTGCAGCCCCTCCTGCAGAGTCTGGCCCATAAAGATGCTCAGTAAATGTTCATAAGGGAGCAGATTTCCCCACTGAGCACAAGGCCAGCATCTGGTGCTGCTACTCAGAAGAAGGAGTCCTCTCTCTCTTTCAGAGCCTTGCTCTGGAGAGAAGAGGGAGCAGAATCCCCGGGCTTCCCTGGGCTGGGCTGGACAGCCAGCATGGCCAGTCACCTCGCTCTTCCAGCTGGATGATGGCTGTGCCGGGCCCAAAGCTGTTCCAGGCCGTGCAGTTGTAGTGGGTCTGGAAGTCGGCCTCCATGACATTGTTGATGGTGAGTGTGGACAACACCCCGCTGCCCGAGTTGGTCCTCTCCACCGTGTATCGTTCCAGGGTCCCCACCTCTAGGAAGTTCTCCTTCCATGCCCAAGCCTGGGGTGGGGGGGTACAGGAAGGAAGGTCAGAAAGCGGGAAGTAGCAGAAGCATTTGCCCGGGTGTTGCCCGATCCTCCCTCTAGCCCCCTCGCCCCCATCTGCCCTGTGCATCCTAAGACCTGCCCAACACTTACCCTATAACCAACGTCACACCTACTGCCTCAGACCCTTAGCATTGAGGAGCAGGAGGACATCAAATTTACCTGGGGAGATTCTTTAGAAAGTACCATCTCCAGGGAAGAGATCTCGGGATCTTTTAATTATGACCCTGGGTGATGTGAATACAGCTGACCCAAAAAAGGGAGCCCCCAATGTTGCAGAGAAAAGTTCTGGATTGGATTTGAGGACCTTGGACTATAATCTTGGCTCTCTCCTATCCCCGCATCCCTGTGTGGCCTCTCTTTCCCTTTCTAGGTCTCAGTTTCTTTGTCTATAAAATGAGAGAATCAGGCTAGAAATGGGCGATACTCAAAACTTCTTCTAGCTCTAAAGTCTGTGATTCCATAACTCAATCTTTAGCCTTTATTTATTTTTTATGTGGTGCTAAGGATGGAACCCAGTGCCTCACAGGTGCTAGGCAAGTGCTCTCCCGCTGAGCCACAATCTTATCTTTGACCAACCCACAAGAACTTGCAATGCTGGCACTGGAGACCCACCCACCCACCTGCAGGCTCTTGTCATGGGCAGGAAGGAACCAGAGAGGAGCATCCCCCAGATCCCTGCCTGCCCCACCACCCTGTCCTCACTCACAGAGTGGAGCTAAGGAAGGGGAGCAGCTGAGAACTAACTGGCTCCTTTCCAGGGATCAATCCTCCCAGCTCTGCAAAGATGGCCCCCCGGGAGCCCAGCCGTCGGCTGCCCGGGCGGCCGTGGTAATGAAGTGTCCCTGGGCAGCCCTGGAGTTAGCCAAATGGTCATTAAATGTGATGAGGGGTTTGACGGTTAATGGWCATGGAACGAATTAATGGCTCATGGTGTGGTGGGAGGAGGGAGGAGTGGAGAGGGGCTGGGAGGAGGGATGCAGGAGAAGGGAGAGGAGAATGGGGCAGGTGGGAAGGAAAGCCCGTGGGGAGGGAGGAAGCAGGCTGGGCGAGGGGAGGAGGGAGAGGGAGGGGGAAGGCAGGCCAGGTGGGAGGACCAGAAAGCACTGGGGATRCAGGAGGAGAGTTTACAGGTCAAGCAACTGAGGTTCAAAACGCTGTGAAACTTGCCCACGGTCACCCGCATAAATAAGGAGGTGAGAAGGGAACAGAAAGGCAGAGGGTTAGAAGACCAGGAAAGGGGGTGAGGACATGGAAGGCGCCAAGCCAGAGGCAGTGGGCAGAGCAGCAGGGGCTGGGGTCCAGGCTGGGTCCCAGCACTCACGATGCGGTCCGGGGGTGGAGTGCTCCCTATGAAGCATTCCACTTTGCCACCGTCGCCTCTCACAGCGTACTGCACCGCCTCGCTGGAGATGATGGGGGGCCCTGCGAGCGAGAAGACGCGGTCAGGGCCCGTCGGATCCTGCAGCCCCTGCAGTCAGGAGCCCCCACCCCACCCCACCCCACTCAGGCCACTCACCATTCACGTAAAGTGGCACCTCCCGCTCAGCCACCCCGATCCGAGGCACGATGGCCCGGCAGGTGTAGGTGCCGGCATCGGCCTGGGTCACCGACTTCAGAAGCAGTTGGTTGCTGTTACTCAGAACCTGGGCAGAGAGAGCAGCCTCGGGTGGGGAGCCAGGAGGCCTGGGCCCCTAGGTCCGTGAGGGCCCCGCATTGGAGGCATTGGAAAGAAAGCAGGAAGGGCCACAGGTGAATTCCCAGCAGGGAGATGGGGTTCCCGAGTCCGTTCGATCCTTCCCCTGACTCTAAACACACTGGCACTGAAACAGATCATCTGTGCAAGAGAGGCCAGGGGCTGAGAGGAGGCCAGCCAGGGCAGGTGGAGGCTGCAGTGATTTTAAGAAAAAGTCCAAACTGTCACTAGGCCCCCATTGGGTGGGTCTCTAGAGCGGCGGAGCCCAAACCTCTCTTCTCTAGTGCGTCATTCTGGCGTCCCCCCTTCCTGTGCACCGTGAATTTCCTGGATCTTGTGCCACCAGAGCCATGTTACCCCATGAATTTCCTGGATCTGGTGCCACCAGAGCCATGTTACCCCGGGCCCTCTTTCCTCCTCCCCCACCAGCCTCATCCCCTGCCTTAGGCCAGCTTGTCCCTCCCACCGCCTCTGAAGGGGTCAGCTGTCTTGTGAGCAGGGGAAGGGCCCTTCTCCTCCACGTGGCAGGACCCTCGCTGTATAGCCCAGGTTCAACTTGAAAAAGAACCCTGCCCCCCTCCTTGCCCCTTGCTAGGCCCCCACGGCCACAGCCCTCCGTCCCCATGCAGGATGGACAGGGAGACTCTTACCATGTTTGAGTCCTTCTTGGTCCAGGTGAGGGTGAGCGGGGGATTCCCCACCCAGACACAGGTGAGCGTCACATCAGAGCCAATGTCTGTAGTCGTGGGCTTGGGGTCAACTACAATCCGGGGGGCAACTGAGGTAAACACAAGCAGCTGGTCAGGTCCGAAGCTCACTGGGGGGCCAACACCCATCCCGCTACCCCTCTGATTATTTCCCACCGTCAGCTCCTTGAGCTGCGTGGGTCCTTTCACCACCCCCACCCTCCRCCCTTCGAAGGCCCCCTCTTCCCGTCCCTGTCCCTTTAGCTACTCACAGTGGACGTTTACTAAAGTGCTGACGTTGGTACTGCCCACTTTGTTGTGGACCTCACAAGACACGGGCTCCGTGAAGAAGGAGTAGTCGACGTTGGTCTCGTAGCGGCTCTCCTGGGCATCTTCAATCAGGAAGCCCCCCTTGGCCCACCTGGGGGAGGACGCAGCACAGAAGTGGGATCAGGACTTGCCATCCTCTCTCCGCTACCTCCGAGGACACTGGCCTCCACAGTACCCCCACCTCCTGGTCTCACTATCCCTCCCAGAGCGCTCCCAGCCCCGACCCTATCACCTATAGCCCAGGATCTCGGGGTTGGCTGTGGCCTGGCACGTGAAGACAACACGCTCGCCTTCCTGCACCGTCTGCGGCTCAATGGACAGGGTCACGGTAGGAGGGTCTGCAAAGCAGGGGACAGGAAGTCAGGGTCTCTTCTGTCTTTTGAATTTCTTATTCTCCCCCTGGCACACATGTTCTGGTGTGATCTGGGAATTTCGGTTTGCAGTATGATCGGTCCAATAAATAAACCATCTCCCTCATCTTCCCCACCCAGGTGGAAGGGTGGTTGGCGAGGGTGACTGACCACCAAGGATGGCACCCAAGGGGYGAACTATTTAATGGGTGTCATGACACACCACGGCCACTAGGCGTCAGTGTGGGCTCACTGGTCTAACTACAAGGGGACAGGGTGGGAGCATCCCCAATTACTGCTGGCATCCCCATGTTTCCCTGGGCAGAGAGGGAATTTACTGAGTACCTACCAGGTAAGCGTACCTGGTGCTAGGCGTTCTTATACTCTAACTTATTTAATTCTCACAACCCCAAGAAGCAAGTCCAGATCCAAAATCCCTTATCTGTAACCCTTGGGACTGGAATTTGGAATTTTTCAAATTTTTTAGAAAGACTCTTTACTATGCAAGATCCCCCGAAGCATTTGAGCCGTGCGTCATGGTGAGACACATAACCCACTTTATTTATTATTTATTTTGGCGGTTCTGGGGATTAAATCCAAGGATGCTGGCTCTACCACTGAATTACATTCATTCTCCAGATCTTTTTAATTTTTATTTCGAAGCAGGGTCTCACTCAGTTGCCAAGGCTGGCCTGGAACTTGTGATCTCCCTGCCTCAGCCTCCCTAGCTGCTGGGATGACAGGCCTGTAACGTGCCACCACACCCAGCAGGAGCATCTGGCTCTTCAGTTAAATACCTGGGTTCAGGTTTCGACCCTAAATCACTTCAGTTTGGGATTGTGGATAAAGGACTGTTGGTCTGTATTTCATATTCTGCGACTACAGTGCCCCTTCTGTCAGCCCTCAGTGCCCCGAGTTCCAACCAGGAAACTGAAGACAAGGAAGGGAACAGCTGTCCGGGGTCCCCTATGGGATGCTTATTCTGGGCTTCTCAGAAGGTCGCCTGCATCCTCTCCCCACCTGACAGCCCCCGACTGCCCCTCCCCGGGACCCCACTCACGATGCACATCCAGCTCAATGGAAGTCTCCTTGCCGCTGGGGATGGCCTCGTTCATGCTGCGGCAGGTGAAGACGCGCCCGATGTCCAGGTCTGTGGGGTTAATGAGCAGCTGGCTGATGGTGGTCTCCCTCTTCCCATCCTTCAGCAGTTCCTGGGGAGGGCCGAGGGTGGGTGACATGGTCAAGCTAAAAACCCTCTGCTCTCAGGGGACCCACTCAGAGTCGAGCTTGGGCAGGTGGAAGGCTTTAAAGTTCAGCTTTCTCCCTCGCTCCCAACTTCTTCCCCACCATGTGATGTTGTTGTTTTTAATTTTTCAGACTTTATTATTATTGTTATTATTATTATTAGGGGATACCAGGGATTGAATTCAGGGGCACTCAACCACKGAGCCACCTCCCAAGCCCTATTTTGTGTTTTATTTAGAGATAGGGTCCCACTCACTGAGTTGTTTAGCAACTCGCTTTTGCTGACTGACGCTGGGCTTTGAACTCACAAGCCTCCCATCTCAGCCTCCTTCCGGGGCTGCTGGGATTATAGGCATGCACCACCGCACTCACAGACTTTATTATTTTACAGCAGAAAAATAGTTTCCATATATTCTCCCTACCTCAGTTTCCCTCATTATTGACATCTCGCACTTGTGTGATAAATTTATTACAATAACCAGGTGTGGTGGCTCACACCTACAATCCCAAAGACTTGGGAGGCTAAGGCAGGAGGATAGTGAGTTCAAAGCCAACCTCAGCAACACAGTGAAACCCTGTTTCAAAATAAAAAAGGACTGGGGGGTATAGCTTGGAGAGAGAACACACCTGGGCTCAATCCCTGTCCCCTCAAATAATAAACAAACAGCAGAGGAACCAATATTGATATATCATCACCAAAGTTCATGGCGTGCCTAAGAATTCCCTCTTTGTGCTGCATAGTTTCCCCCGTGGCATTGAGCTTCATTCTTGGAATTCTTTGAGCCCAGTACAAGTCCTTCCTCTTCTGGAGCGCCTGCGAGGGCCAGCCCAGGCCTCAGGACTCTCAGCCTGAACTTGGCCCCTCACAATCAGGCTGCCCTACACGTGGCTCGAGGCACATCCACCTGGCTCCCTGGGGATGTTTTAGTGCCGGGCCTTTCCCCGCTGACCTGTAAATGCCTTTGAGTTTAGGGAAGGGACTCATAGGCTCAAAGTYACTGGCTCAGTGACACGCAAGCAGAGGTCCCCAAATATGGTCACAAGAACCCACAAGGCTGTTTTCCATATTGCCAACCACCTAGGGGAAATGCTCCCATGAACCACAGTAAGGTCCTGCCATTTGACAATCCTACACACACCTTTGGGGGACTGGGACAGTACAGTGACACTCATGTTGCTTCAAAGAGCCACAGGCTTAAATGAATATGAGAAGGGTGTGGGGAAGAAATGGCACTAACAAATAGACTTGACAGATTTTATATAAATATATATTCATAATATGTGCATACACACACACACACACACACACACACGTACACATCCCCCCGCATCCTGGGGATTGAACGCCGGGCTTCACACACACTAGGCAACTGCTCTACCACTAAGCCACATCGCAGCAGCCCAACTATTTTAAAACATGTACCCTATAGGAAAAAAATAACTGAGTTCTTGATGGTAAAGGGTTAAGAACTACTGAGGCCAAAAGATCACTTTTAAATTCCAGAGAAGCAGAAGGAATTTTTCAAGGTCATACAGTGTGTTACGAGTAGAGATAAAGCCAGAGTCCCCTAGGCTCATGCTTGGAGGAATATTCTCTCTCCCCACCCTGAGAAGCATCTCCTGCAGCACTCGGCCAAGGGCTGGGCACATATGTTCCCCCACGGCTAGCAGAAGGAACCCCGGAAACAAAGATTTTTTTTTCTTTTTTTGTGATACCAGAGATTGAGCCCAAGGGTGCTCTACCACTGAGCTCACCCCAGCCCTTTCACTGTTTTACTGAGACAGTCTCCAGAGTTTCTCAGGCTGGCCTCCAATTTGTGGTCTTCCCGCCCCAGCCTCCCGAGTCTTGAGGATTACAGTCATGCCCATCAGATGGGCTTCTACCACCAATTCTGCCATGTGACCTCGGCAAGTCACTTACTGTCTGGATTCCTTATCAATAAAACATCCGTGGTGATCCCCGTTTCCCCAACCTCTGAGTTGTCGTGATTGAGATAATGTGCCAACCTGATGCTGAAGGAAATGAGTAGAGGTGACTCGTGGAGAGAAAGCACTGTCAGACCCAGGTTCAAATCCCAGCTCGCCAGCTGGGTGACCTTGGCAAGACACACAACTTCTCTGGTTATCGGTCACCCCTTTGTGAGCTCACAGGGAGACTGTCCAGGGACCTGGCATACAGGAGGTGCTTCATCCATGGCAGCGGCTAGTACTACCCTCCACTGCTGTTCAGCCGACTGGCACAGCTCTCTAGACCTCCGTTTTCCCTTCTCACATCTATGTTCTCCTCAGTCTATGGTCAAATCCCCATGGGGACAGAAAGGTGACCTAGGGCTGGGCCAAGGGGAGCCAAGGGGGCAGGCCGGCGTCTCACCGTGCTGGCCACAGCGCCCTCCTGCTGCGTCCCGTCCCGGAACCAGATGATGGTGGCTGCAGGCTTGGCGTTGAAGGCTCGGCACGTGAGGTTGTGGGGGGTGCCCGCCTGCAGCAGAATCACAGGGCCTCCATCAATTCTGGTGTCCTCTGGGGGGACTGCGGGGGAGACCAAAGCAACGTCAGCCCAGGCTGTGGCCAACAGTGTCCTCCTGACCAAGACCTCTGCCCACAGAGGCATCCCTGCACCCACATCCACACCTCTCTGCAGGGAGGTGCCGCCCACCCTGACTTACAGTGACCGTATTGCCCCACGCTATGTTTTCCTGCTGGTCCCAGCCTCCCGCCATGGCTATTCTTTCCTAGCCTGGACCATTTTTTGTTACTAYACCCCCCCCATGATGGCTCAGGTGTCATGGATACATACTACAGATGGAGCGGTAGCATTGAACTCAGGAGAAGGCTGGGCTCCCGGGGCTGGAGTGCAGCTCCTACCTAGGGAAGGGTGTCTACCTCCACAGGGCTTCTTGCATCCAGCCCCTCCAGCCTGCTCCTCTGCCTTGGGGCAACTGCCCTGAACATGATGAGTTGCCAGGCCCCCCAGCCCCCTGCTCTGGGGCCCTCCAGCCAGGCCCTGCAGCTTTGCACCTCATTGTTCTTTCATGATGGTTTGTCCTTAGCTCACAGCTGCTGTTGGGGTCTCAGTGCATGCAAAAAGTTTCCCATGCTCCACTCCCCAGACAGTCCCATAGCTCTCAGCACTGGCTGAATACTCCTCTTATCTGTATCTGAATTCCTTGCCATGATTATCTAACCCGATCCCTTGGAAAGTGGAGACCCTCTCCTACGAACATCAATATAGAGTCTCGGGTGCCTAGACCAAAGCAGCCCTTTACTAAATGCTTAAGGAATCCAATGGTCAGATATCTGATGCTGGCAAATGGTGGTGGTGGTGGGGCCTCTCYATCTCCAATCTCTGCGGGCTTCTAACTGCTCAGGTGATCAGATTGCGAGTTGCCTGGGGGCATGGGCTCTTTTTATTTACTCTAAACCCTCAAAGTCCAGAGCTTGGTGGTTAGCAGGTTCTTGGGGAGATTTTTTTGCTGAATTAATAAATGGACAATTGATGGGATAAAGGCAGGAGGATTTTGATTGTCATCTTTTTAGTTCCCACCGAGATCATCAGCTAGAAATGAGAAAAGATGTGTTTCTGCTTCTTTGGGGAAGACAAGGAGGACTCTAAGGGAGCTTTCCAAATGGGACCCTTGAAAGGAGACCCTGGGAATGCATGGAACTGGGGAGGAAGGGCTGCCCTGGAGCTCATGAAATGGGCTTCTCTATGTTGGGGTTTGCACCGGTGGCCTGTGCCAGCGTTCTGTCCAACGCACGCATGCTGCGTGGTATCCTGGGAAGAGAATGGAATTTAGAACCAAGCTCCTGGGGTTTCAAATCCTGGCTCCTGTCTGTGATTTGGGGTGAGTCTCTGGAGTCTGCGAGTCTTAGTTTCTTCATTAGAGACTTAATCCCTACTCGCTGGAATGTCTGTGGGATGCTGTATGTCGACGGTATCGTGCAATTCCATTGTGAAATGTAAAATGTGTTGGTTTTACTTCCCTCCCCGAGTCGTGAGCAGTGGCTCTGGCTCCCGCCTGGCTGACCATCCTGAACCCCCAGCTCCTCCTCTTGCACCCAGATGCATCTGGTTCCAATGCCAGATGGGGATGCAGGTGAGAAGCAGCTTGAGAACTAAAGAAACATGGAGAGAGATGAGTAAGGGGCTGCCTCTCAGGGTCTCCTGGTCTTTCAGGGCCCCTCTGAGGTCGCACCTTGGTGTCCTACCAGGAAGTAGGGTCCTGGGTGACCAGAGCCCTGAGCTTCTACAGGTGGAGACGCCATGCACACCCAGATGCAGGGCCGCTCCGGGGTGAGCTCCTGAGCTCCTCCCATGAGCTCTCAGTTCCCTTTGTTCAGGGAAGGACTCCCCCCCATCTGTCACTTCTCCCTCCAGCCCACCTTTTTCTAGTCTTTTCAAACTCTGTGCCTACTCTCTGTGAGYCCGACTCTGCCCTCCACAGCTGGGCAAAGGACACCAGCCGTTAGGGTGCAGGAGTCCACCTGTGCTCCTGCGTACGAAYGAGATCTCAGGATCTGTGACTTCGATCTGTGTATCTGTGTGCCCACGTCGTGTCCCCACCCTCTGTTCCCCTTATTTGTGAAATTTCAAAACTAACATGGATACCGACTCCCCAGAATTGCAGTTGTGGGGGTAAAAGGAGATGGAGGAAGAGAAGCCACCTGGAAAGTGTGCTACGATTGATGACAATTTCCTCCTTCCTTGGAAGTGGGCCTTGTGTCAGCTCAGTGTCTCGTGCAGGTGACTTTATTTTACCTTGCCACAAGGTGTCCTTCCCTAATCCTTTCCTGGGAATATCACTGACCCTAATTTACCCAGGAGGAGCTGAGGCTCCGGAGGTGACACCGACGCACTCAGAGCCACGAGAGTRGACTCACTCGGTGGCACAGCTGGGATGCGGGCCAGGCCTGCCTGACCCCAAAGCTAAGCCCATCGCAGTGCACTCTGGTTGTTATTGCTGTGACTAATGAGCTGTCGGTCTGCAGATCTATATTGTGTCTGCGTCTGCCGGGGAGCAGGAGGCCTCCTCTCACAGCCTGCCGTAAACAAGAATGAAAGAGTTCATTCTGTGAAGATGGCTGGCCTGGGGAGGTGGGGTGGRCCGCGGGGGCACACTGGCTGGGGCTGAGCGGGGTTTATGAAGCTGGTGTGTACAGGAAGGCTGATCCCAGGCCCAGGGCACAGCACCCTCCTCCTTTGTGGCCTGCCCGGTCTCTGGGCCCCMGGCTGCCTGGAGCCAAGGTTCTGGGTAGCAGGAGGGGTGCAAGAAATATCACGCCTTTCTGGGGGGCCCCAGTGGCACATGCCTGGGAATCCCAGCTGCTCAGGAGGCTGAGGCAGCAAGACGGCAAGTTCAAGGCCAGCCTAGGAAATTGAGTGAGACCCTGCTTCAAAACAAACAACAACAAGAGCTGGGGATGTAGCTCAGGGGTAGAGTGCTCCTGGTTCCATCCCCAGTACTGCAAAGAGAAATGTCGGGCTTTCTTATTAGCTCTGTGGGGCACCTCTGCCAGGCATTTCAGGGCTCAAGAAAGAGACCAGGAGGGGGCAGAGTGAGGGAAAGGTGCAGCTAGACTAAACATCCTGCCTCCCAGGCAGCGTGCATGTGCGCTCTCGCTTTCGCTCTCTCTCTCTCTCTCTCTCTCTCTCTCTCTCTCTCTCTCTCTTCTTTTCTGGTGGTTCCGGGGCTCAGGACTCTTGTGCATGCAAGGCTAACACTCTACCCACTGAGCTGTACCCCCAGCCCAGCTCTCTGACTCCTAGGGCCTTTCCCTGCTTTGATCATACATTCAAGCCAGACCAGCAAGACCCTACCCAACACTGACCCCATCCTCCCATAAGCCAGTGTCCCTGCTGAGGCAGCGTGCCCTTGTTGACCTACAAGCTTTTGAACAAGGCACTCCTGCCTCTAGGGCTCCCTTTGATATTCTCCTCCTCCAGGAAGCCTTCCTTGACTGAGCCAACCCAATGGAGGCCATGAGAAGCCCTGGCTTAGTTGGATTTTCCTCATCTCTAGCTCTCCGTCTCTGTACTGGGGATACTAGAGAGAGAAATGAAGAGTCTCAGGACCCCTCATTAGGATGGGAGTTCTCCAGGGCAGAAGCAGCACCTTCCAGGGTCCAATACAGAGGCAGTTGGGGAGGGGTGAAGGAAGGAAGGATTCCCCTAAACCATGGTTCCCTTGGAGTGCCCTGTCCAGGGTGACAAGATGACACGTTGGCATCCTGTGCTTAGCTCTAATTCCTGCTCTGGGGTCCCACCCTGCTCCTGGCTGTTCTTCCTGATTTAGTCCTAGAGAGGAAAAGCCAGTCACCAACCAGCCTGGAATCCTAGTCCTTTGGGGCCTCTCCATCCGAAGAAACCAGCTGCTGGGTTCCTCGGTGCTCGCCTATCCTGACACCTCCCACTCGGGCGCATCTTCCCAGTTTACAGCTCCCTGTGCAGGGAGCAGCCAGGCGGCAATGGCTAAAAAAGGCCGGAGTCACTGTGCCGCACTATGGAGGAGAAACCCCGTGCCCAGGGGTCGTGACCTCTTTAGGATCCAAATGACCCAGGTCTCGGGGCTCCCGGCAGCCCACCCAGACAACCTGTCACAATCTCACTCCTCTCCCCTCTAAATCAGAAAGCCCCCCGAGCCCCCCTCCCGAGCCCCCCCACTTCAACGATTTCTGGTTACAGGGAGGGAAGAGAGAGGGCAGCGGCACAGATCCATCTAGAGGAAGGAACGAGATGGGGACAAAAATCAATGACACGGGAACAGAGGGTCACAGGCAGAAAGGTTCCAGGCCAGAGACGGGCAGAAGGGAGGCCGAGGCACCTCCAGACCACAGAGCGGGGGAGACAGACAGGGGGAGGCCGGGGGAGAGGGGCCAGGGCACCGCAGGGCTGGCCTCGTTCCTGGGCTTCTGCAGGAGAGTCCCTTCATAATGCACATGCCCCAGGGGTGACCGCAGAGGGACATCTGCTCTGGTCCCCGGTGGGCCCCCGCTGGGAGCAGGGCTTCCAAGAGGCAAGCCCCCCTGAAGCTTCAGCCTGGGGCCCCGTCCCCGGCCCCCGGGGGCCAGCCTCAGGCCTACTCTTCCAGCCCAGCTCCCTGGTCCCCAGGAGGCACAGGTGAATCTGAGAGAGGGAGAGAGGGAGGAGGCAGCCCTGGCTAGAAGGGCCACTGCTGGGGATCAGAAGCAACGGAGACAGGTGGAAGGAAGAGGGGGACGATCTCTGACCACCAGCCCCGACTGCCAGGCGAGCTGGGAAAGCCAGGGACCACCACCCCCACACTTTTCCTCTCCCTTCAGGAGAGCCCTGTCTCCACTGGAGGTGGGACTGGGTCCCTGGAAGGGCCTGGGCAGAGGATGAAGCAGAGGCCCACACCACCTGCCCGGCCACCAGCCCCCTAAACATTCTCCTCCTCCAGGAAGCCTTCCTTGACTGAACCCACCCCACAGAGGCCATGAGAAGTCTTCATCTGCATTTGGATCTGGGAAGCCACTGAAGGAAGGAGTTGTAGAGAGAGAACCAGAGAGAGAGCAGGGCAGAGATGAGGCCAGGAACAGAGGGAGAAGCTGGGGTGGGGGAGTCAAGGAGGGAATGGGAGAGCGGGAGAGCCAGGGTGTGGGGCACCGAGGGGCCCTGGGTCATTACTGAGCACGGTGAGCTTGGCCCTCCGGGAGCGCAGGGCGGCCTCCGTGGCCTGGCACTCGTAGGAAGCGTCGTCAGAGAGTTCGGCGTCCGTGATCTCCAGGTTGTACTGACCGGCGTCCGCAGAGCCCACAACCCGGTACCGTGGCCAAGCTGCAGAAACAGAAAGGATGAGACCCAGCCCTGGGGCCAGGACCCCCCCTGTCCCCAAGGACTCATCCTCTCCCCACTCCTGGGCCACCGTTGACAGGTGACATCATGGAGTGCCAGACTCCAGAATGTCAGGACCCCCCCATGGCGAGGCTGGGAGCCGTGAAACAGGAGGGGCAGACGGGGATGGGGGGCAGAAGCCAGGGGAGAGCAGAAGSGGGAGAGGAGCAGGAGCAGGTGAAATCTCAGAAGCTGTTTGCAGACAAATGTCTCTCATAATGATAGCAAAGGGAGAGGGGGAGAGGCAGGCAGCAGGGGAGGAGGGAGGGGGAGAGGGGAATATAGGGCATCGCACCACAGACATGAGCTCACTGGGGGCGCCTCTGTGGGACCTGGCCAGGCAGCGGGAAGCCCAAGCAGGCCCGGGTCTTGCCCCCGCCACTCACCAGGAGGTGTGGGCCAGGCAGGGTCCTCCAGCTCCCTGCAGGGGCCCCCAGGCAGAGGCCTGTTTCCTTGCAAGGTTGATGGCTGGATTCAGGGGTCCTCTCGTTCCTTCTCCCTTCTCCTCCCTCCTGCAGCCTCCCACCACCCGCCCCCTCCCACGATCTCCCTCTGTCCAGAGGCTATCGATTCTTCTCACTCCATATCTATTGATTTCTCTCTCTCTTCCTCTCTCCCGGTTTCTCTCTCCATCATCGATAGATGCACCAAACCCTTCCTACAGATGGCTCCACACCAATTTCCCCTCCCTGGAATCCACAGCAAGTCATCTCAACCCCCTCGGAAATAAGAAGAACAGAAACACACACAGCCCCTCCCCAGGCCACGAGAGTACTCCACAGCCAACACTCTGGCTGCACTAGGCCCCTTCCCTCCCTTCCTGCCTGCAAGACCCACAGGTGCACTTGGAAGGCAGGCACACCTTCAAAGGGACAGGTAGGCCTGTTTCACGCTGCAGCAAACCAGGCTCAGTGAAGGGAGGTGACTCTCCTAGAACACCCAGCCRGCAGGTGGCGAAGGCAGGAGGACAGCCCTGCTGGCCCGGCTCCTCACCTGTTCTGTCAGGKGGCCCTTCCATGGGCTCTTGACTGGCTTGGGAACATAGGAGGATTTGGGGTTTGTTTGCTTCTGACTGAATCATTATGTTTTTCTCAATACTCGCTTCATAGCCAGTGCTTYRTAAACGCTTGTTGAGTGAATAAYTGAATAAGTGCTCAGGCTGATATTAAAATGAGCTTTTGGCCTCTGAGCCACATGGSCTGAGTGTGTGTGTGTGTTTGGGGGTGGTGGAGGGGGGAGCAGAGGCAGCCTGTGTGATGCATTTGAGGGACACAGGAAGTGCTGGAGCTTGCCAGCAGACAGGTGACGCTACTGTCCCAGCACCTCCTGCTTGACCTGTCAGCCTGCAGCACCTCAGTGTCTGTCTGTCTGTCTCTGGTTTCCCTTGATCTCCAGGCTGTGGGTTGCCTTTCCCCAGCCTCCACAGTGGGGAGGAAAGACAGAGATGCAGGGTGGGCAGGACAAAGCTCAGGAGGAGATGGAGAGAGGAGAGTCCACAAGTCYAAGCTGGGAGTGGGAATCGGGGTACAGATGGGGCTGTCAGGAAGCTGGGTGGCCCCGCAGTCCCACTCACCTTTGAGACCCTGGCCCATACCCAGGGCCAGCCCGTCCTTGGTCCATTGCACAATCCCAGAGTAGTTGAGGAGCACACAGGGGAGCACCRCCCGCTGTCCGGCGACCACAGTCTGGTCAGCTGGCTCCTGGCTGAAGCGGGTCTGGGTCCCTGGGAAGCCAAAGTGGGCATTGTATAAGGAAACAGGGGGTCTCCAACTAAGAGGCCATCCCTCTCGGGCTCCCACGCCCACCCACCCCAAGAAAAGGCAGGCAGGAGACAGCCTCAGGCCTGGCGGGGGGGGGGGGGGGACTTCTTGCCCTTGTCCTATTTCAGCACCAACCCGATCCTTCCAAGACGTCACGGGCTTGCCCTCTACTCCGCTCTCCCTCAGTGGCCCACGGGAGTGAGTTTCGGGAGCGGGTTTCAGAGGTGCTTAGCAATCAGCAGTGGTGCAGTATTATGTAATGGCCTTAGAGATGGGTCTGGCCCAGCCCTCTCATTTTGCAGAGGCAGACACCAAGGTCCAGGGAAAAGAGGATCCGAACCACAGACACCCAGAGAGTTCACAGTAGGGTCGCTGTCCTGCAGGTCCTGGGCTGTTCCTCTAAGACCCCACCCACTGCCTCTCCACACACCCAAGTTCATGCAGGACGCATTGATAATGAAAGCCCCTGGAGACGCTGCAGTCCACCCCTCCGCCCCCACCAGGTCCCTGGGACTAGGCCCATCCGCACACACGAATACACCACCATGACTCTTCTTGGACACGTGGCGTGAGCCAACACGTGGGCAACAGTGCCAGGCACGATCCCCCAGGCCGCAAGTGCAGAGGGGTAGATTCCACAGGGCAGGCGGGTCCACGTGCCATACGTGTGCACAGAAGCTCCCTGGGTCRGGACTAGATCCACAAGAAGGTGGACACGGTCCCTGATCCATGTATTTACCCCTTGGCCCAGTACGGGGGCACGAGGGTGGACACACCGACACACCTGCACACACTCAGCTTCTGCACCACGAGAGCCGAGCCGAGAGGCCGTGTGACTGTGCTCCCCTCTCCCTCCGGCTGCAGGAGCTACACATGGCTGCCCGGCTGGCATCTCGGCCGGGAGCATTTGATTAGAGAACTGCAGAGTAATTGCCTTTAATTGTGGAGCCTAAATGGAGCAGGGAATTGGATTGCGGGTTTCTTCTCCCCCACTGCTCCCACCCACCCGCTAGCTCCATCGCTGGGCTCGCTCCATCGTGGGTCGGCCCCACAGCCCTGGGCACCTCGCAGAGCTGGAGGAGCTGGGCTGGGGGGAAAGGAGACGGCAGGGGACCGAGTGGCTAGAGGACAGCAGAGGGAGAGGTCTCGGGCTTCTCTGCCATGCTCCYGATCGGTCACACCAAGGTGACCAAATCAGCTTTCCCCAGAACGCAGGGGCTCCTCCCTCTTCTGTCCCTCCTCGCTCCCCAAGTCTTTGCAGAGTCCCAAATCCCCGAATCCAATCCTTTCCAAACCCATCTTCCCCCAGTTTTTTCTGACCTACCTACCATTGCTTCTGTTTGTAGAGGAACGGAACTCAGCCTCTCCCCATTTCAGCACCTCTCTCTAAGCCACTTCGACACCTCTAGTTTTTCTGTTTGTTTGTTTCCAGAGCTGGGAATGCACCTAGGGCCTTGAGTGTGCTGGGCAGGAGCTCTGCTGCTCAACTGTAACCCCAGTCCCACAATCCATCTGATCCCCTCCATTTTTTTTGCTGGGTTAAACCCCGGGCCTAGCCCATGCGCTCTACCTTCTTTTTTCTCCTCCAGCCCCATTTTCTCCCATCTTCCCAAATCCGCTCCACATTTCCCGCTTCCAGGAAGCCTCCTGAACTCATCCTTGGGCTCCGTGGCCATCCCAGCTAGTCCCAGGCCCAGCCCTGTTGGTACAGCACTGCACCCAGGGCTTCCTGTCTCCGCTATCAGGGCTTCCGCCCACGGCCTTGTATGCCAGGAGACCCAGGGGAACAGGTGGGTGGGGTCTCATCTGTTCTTCTGGAATGAGAACCTCTCTCCCAAGGCCAGGGGCCATGCTCTGTCTGAGAAACTGATGTGACTCCATTTTTGAGAAACCAGCCTCTACCTCAGAGCAAAGCCTGTCCAAGGAAGGGGGAGTGACCCTTGTCCTTGGAAAACCCCACAGAGCGCTTCTAGGCACATACCCACCCTGCTGAGTTGTTCATCTACAAATAACAGGAGAGATCTGCTGCGCCAGGTGTCCCTGACTCAGTCAGGCTAGGTGAGGACCCATAGCAGCCCCCTAGCAGCCACCAATCAGCATGAGACAGGGAAAATACCTGGGATGCCAGATGACCCCCCAGTAGTTTATGGTGGTTGATAACATGTTGGAAAACCATGTAGTTCAGCACATACACCCCTCTTGGCTTAAACCAATCAGTTCAAACGAACCCCCTTCTTGTACTAGCCAATCACCCCTACCCAACTTGTTCCTGGCATAGAATGTGCTAATCAATGTGAAGAGTTGTTGTTTGATTTTCCTGTGGTTTGGAATGATTTGCTGTGTGATGTTGTGAGGCATAGAGTATCTCCCCAAAACCTATAAAATCTCACTGAACAAAGGACCGGGACTCACTCCCTGGGACCGCTGCTGCATTGGGAACCGTTGTGAGTCCAGGCTCGAGCTTGCCATAAAGACCCTTGTGTGATTGCATCGGATTCGGCTCCTGGAGGCCTATTGGGGTCCCACGAATCTGGCCTAACATGTCCTCCTTCTGAGTCCCTGGACATTGGACATCCATCCACATTAGTGGCTGAGAAGCAGGTTGGTGGCCATAGGACAACAGAATCTCACGCAGCCTTTTCATTCTTGGTTAAGTGCACCAGTTGGGCCCTTTGGGTCGGCCGGGGACCAGGAAATGAGAAACAGGGTCCTTCTCCCACAGGAGCGAGCTGCTCCTCACCCCTGTGTCCTGACTTCTCCTTAAGAAGGAAAGRTTCCTTCACATTTTGAGGGATGCGGGTGGCAGGTGCTGAGTTCCTGGGGGAAGGGTGGGTCAGGTGAGCAGCCAGCATTATTAATTCAGGCATTGCCCTCATTATTATTCAAATTTATTCATATCCTTGCGCATTTCTCTAGAGCAGCTACACACTGCAAACTCTCCACACTCACGTTTCTCCTTCCCCTGGCCCCTGGAGCCCCCGTGAAGGGCTTAAGAGTGGAGTGGCCAGTAAGCCCTGGCTCAGAGAGGGAACTGACATCCCTAGTTTTTTTGCATGGTGCCTGGTCACTCGTTGAAATCTGTAGAGGACAGTGAGCAGCTGGCTCCTTGTCCACTTGGAGTGAGGTGGCGGTTGACCCTGCGACAGGACAGGTGGGAAGTGCCTGGAGTCAGAGTCAGGAGATGGGTTTTGCACAAGTGAGGAGTCCAGTGTCCTTGGGCACAACACTCCCTCCTCCGGGCCTCCACTTGCTCACCTGCACGATGACAGGTCTGAGCGAGACTGCCACTGTCCCTTTCTGCTCAAATCCTAGGAGCCAAGTATAGGAAAGAGAATGTGGTTTACATTGTGCCTCTGGGGCTTCCTAACCTGGTGACCTTGGCCAAGGGACTGACCTACTAAGCTTCTTTCCTCCTTAGTAAGTTTGGGAAAGWTGAGGCCTACTCCAAGACATGGGATAGATGTCACGGTCCCCTGCCTGTACCCTCTGATGGATACCTACTGTCATTTTGACAACTGGAGGGGCCGCAGGAAACCTGAGCAGGCACAGGATGAAGAAGGTGGTGAGTAYCTGTCTTTCTGGGGATCTGGAAGTAAAACTCACCCTTGGGTTAGGCCTGACTGAGACAACGGAGTCTGGGAAGAAGGGAATGAAGCGACGACTCAGTGGAGATTCCAGAGAAGATGGAAATGAAGCGGTTCCAGAATGTCAGTCCACGGGAGGGTTACCTAGATGTGAGCCTGCACGCCACAAGCAGGGTTTCAGGTCCCCAAACAGCCCCTGGACTCCGGATAGTGAGTGAGATGAAGTCCAAATGCCCCAGGTGGCACCCACGCTGGCTCAGGATTAGGGGAAAGCCCCAAGCATGACTTGACCGTGTCCTGTTCTCTCTGCCCCACACACTCCATCCACATCAGGCCTCTGTCATCCCCTACCCCCTCCCCCGGGAGGCGCCCAGAGACGGGGGCAAACAAACAGGAGGAGGGAGGGAGAACAGTGCTCAGGCAGGACGAGGAGAGAGTCCTGGGGGTGGATGAGCGAGCGGAAGGGAACATCTGGAAAGGGAACAGGGGGTGCCCATGTCTGATGGGTAGGAAGGGGGCACTCGCTACTGTATGTCCTTGAGTGTGAAGGTGTCACGGACCCGGAAGCCATGGCATATGCACACGTCCAGACACAGTCCCAACGTGATGAGCACCTTGCCTTGTGCCATCTGTTCCAGAGCAGGGTCTTTCCTGGACCCGGATTCAATTTTTACTCCCAATCTGCGCCTGTATCCACTTCCAGGAAATTAAACCCACACCCAACAGCAATGAGGGGAACTGGGGGCTGTAGGGTGACGCGTCCGTGGGGCAGGAGGTGGGGGAGCACAGAGGTCTGACTGCAGACAGAGAGGGAAACAGACCATCCTCCTGTTAAACAGCATCAAATCGAGGCCTCACCTGGGGGCCATCCTGCTTCTGCGCGTGTTTTTAAGTGAATTCCAACCTGCTCTGATGTCCTCCCCTCCTGTCTTCAGGGAACATCACAGAACTCTCAAGTAGCCAATGCGAAGGCAGGAGGAGAAAAACGGAGCTGTCCACACACCCCAGCAGGAGCGCGTGTGCACGCACACACGGCCCAACGGGTAGGCCGACAGAGGCGCAAATGACGCTGAGAAACACAGACACTCAGGGGGAGAGCAAAGGAGACCCTCAGAGGAAGGAAATGGAGCCCGGGGTTGGAAAGAACTCAGGCTGGAAAATGCACGTGCTCTCCCAGGGCACCACGTGAGATCCGTGCGCACAGACGCCCGTGAAGTGACACAGACCCGGGCCAAAGCAGAGAAGGCAGGTGGAGAGATGGGGACGTGGTGCGTGGCAGGGGGAGAAAGGACGTTTCAGGTGAACTCCTGCCCTCCGTGCCCCACCCTGCAACACAAAGCTCCTCTAGCCTCAGACTTGGAAGTTCCTCCTCCATTCTC